CCATATGCTTCCTCTCTGACTTTGTGTACTCTTCGGAAAGAACCAGTGACCCCATCAGCAGGCAAGAAGGGAAGAAAAGCGATACAATAACATGTGTCATGAGTAATAAAGTGTCAGAAGATATGACAAAAATATTGCACAATAATTCAAATAAGTTCGACCACAAAATCAAAAAGCCTCTGAAAAATTGGGGCACAATAAACTCCCCCACCACGATAAGGTGACGGCTCAGGGAGAGAAATTATTATGACACATATTTGTAAGTTTATTCATCTATTCTTCATTTTTGTTTTCAATCCAAGACCAAACGCTATATCTGCTTTTATGATCATTTTCCTCCCATCAGCTGATGGACAGGGACAACTCGCGGGCGCTCATCAAGGCCGTCACTTCTCTGTTTCGCGCCGGCGGCCCTTCCGCTTTCTCAGAGCTGACTGCGTCCATGTCCAGCCTCTTCTGCGGCTACCCAGAAGGCGGCGGCGCGCGTGTGCTTTCCTTCAACTGGTACGAGGACAACAACTACAAGGTGTTCCTGGGGGTCAACAGCAGCCGCGCCCGTGACAACTACGTGTATGACTACACGACCAGTGAGTTCCGCTAACTGACGAACCAAAGAACTGAAATGTCCTCAGGTGTGGTTCAACCAATATAAGATCCAAGATATCATTCAATTTAAAATACAAATCATCTTCCTAAAATCAGTTTAGGGACCAAAGATGTCTTCCTAAATTCAAAGTAGAACCAAAATATTTTCTGAGATTTCAATCAAAACCCAAAACATTTTCCCAATTTCAATTTCAGACCAGATTGATTGCTTGAATTCAATTAACATACAGAATGTGCGCCTTGACTGTCCTCCACAAATGAATTGAATCGTCATCATCGTTGACGTTTGCAGCCGCCTTCTGCAACAACCTGATGCAGACGCTGGAGTCAAACCCGGTCACGAAAATGGCGTGGAATTCTGTCAAGCCCCTGCTGATGGGAAAGATCCTGTACACTCCCGACTCCCCTGCTGTCCGGAAGATATTAAAAAGCGTAAGGGAATAGCCTGACCCCTCTGAAATGCCTCTCCTCCGACTCTTTCATCATACTCACTGTTTGTTTTGTGCTTGTGTCAGGCGAACACCACCTTCGAGGAGCTGGAGAGGCTGTACAATTTGGGCAAGATG